GAGTTAGTTAACTAATTTAAATTTAAATAAGTTAAAAAATTTTATTAACCTAATTATTTGTAATAAATACTATTACTAATTATATGTATTAGCTACAACTATCATTTGATGGATTACTACAAGAACTATTTAAAAAAATAGATAAATATAAAAAATAAAGTGAATTGAGATCTTATATTTAAGATCAAATTAAAAATTAAATTAGTTTTTATATTAAGGACTAGAGGTAGTGTTTTTTTCCTTCAAAAGTTCAAAGTTAGAGATTAATTTTTTTAAACTTCAAATTTAAAATTCTACATTTCAAACAAGATGCATTACTTTTAAAAAAATTGCTTAATTAATTTTATCATCTTACTAAAAATATAATAAAATTTATGTTTAAATTTAATATTTAGTTTTTTACTAGTATATTAAAAATGAAATTATGATTTAGGTTTGGAAAAAAATTAATTTCTTCAATAAAAATGATTGATGAGAAGCTTTTATGGCATACATGAAAGTAAAAGCATGGTATTTTTTTAAAAAAAGTATAAATATAATTTGAATTATTTATAAATGTAAATTTAATCTATATATGAATGAAAATTAATAACAAATATATAAACAATCATGTTGAAAGTTGGTTTGTCATTAATTTTTAACTTTTGAGTTTTGAGTGTAAAAACAGAGTGGAAGTGGTACGAAAAGGAGGGAAAAGGAAAAAAAAAAAGAAAAAAAAAAGCAAAGTACGAAAATGTTATCGTAACGAACTAACGATCACAAACGGGCGTTAAATTAAAGGGAACCAAATAGTCTGGGAAGATTTTTTGGTCGCGTCTTCTCCTTTTGAATAAATTGGAAACTTGGGCTCTAAGCCTGTCCAAACACAATTACGCATGTCACTACCCAATAGATTTCTGCCACGTAAAAAATCTTCGTAATATTTCACCGAAACTTCCTCCTGGGTTTCACTCTTTGTTCATCGCAACCGCGTTGGTTATTTTACTTTATCATCCATCAAATCAAAATAAATATATAATAAATTCTTTTTGCCTACAATAAAATATAATAAATTCCCAAACCATTTTACGGGTAATCAAAAGACATAGTAAATAAAACATATAAAATATGAAATTGAAAATTGAAGGAAACTGTACTGTAAAATGATGTTCTTTATAATTTATCTAGGCTCTTTGCAAGACATGAACCGTGAACCTGTCTAAATTACAAAGAACAAGATTATGAATCTCGATAGCTAGCTCCTCAAAGGTTCAGAAGTTCGTCAAAACCTGTCCTGAAGTTTTTGTTGTTGTTTCAAATCAGATTCCAGTCCCATAATATTCATATGAAAGAGATGGCTGTATCATGATATCATGAGCAAAAGTTGGTCCACAGGATTATTGTTTCAAATCTCACTATCAGTATAAGAAGGATTCAGTTGATGCATAAGCCATCTAAACATGCATTTATAAGCACTTTTTAAATTTAAAAACATATATTGATTCAAATGAGCCCTAAGAATCAAATCATCTAAAAAATTTTTATAGAAAGACTAGTATTTTATTTTAGTGAAAAAAATTCCATCCCAAATCACAGTACCACCAATCTTAGGATTATTTCACTTCGCTATTCAGCATTTTTTTATAATAAATTTATAAATTAGAATAACAAAACAAATAAAAATTATATAAGGTAAAGTACTATTTAAGATATTGATATTATTTTCTAGCAGTGCCTAACACCCTAATTTTATTTATTGTGCACTCAACATCTTAATATAATTTTTAGAGTGCATCCAACATTATTTGATGCTAATTTTTAATTATATTTAATGCCATAATTCTTTTATTATTTAGAGCGTTGAATACACTATAAATAGTATTAAAATGCTGAGAATATTGAATGTAACTCATAAATAACACATGTATAATGGGTGTCGTACTTATGTAGGAGGTGCTATCATAAAAGTTTGTGAAGATCGTGTGGCACCAATTCTTTCACCTTGACGGGCCAAAATAGTTTGTGTTAGGTGGTTTAGTGCTTATGTGAATTAGTGGGTAATGGCACTTATATGGCAGAGGCGAATCAGGAGAATGGCTTCCATTCTGCATAATTCAATTTTCTTCCCAACTATGAACAACCTAACTTTCATTTGATTTGCTTTAAAACTACTCAGGTCATGTTTGGTAAGCATAAAGGTTGGTTTTATGAGAAAGAAAATGAGGGAGAAAATCTATTATTATTATATATGTTTGGCACTAACAATTAAACTTGTTATGAAACTCGTGCTTCCATCAATTATCAAATATGGCGTTGGCTATGGAAAGAGAGTTTCTGCCATGGAACCCCAAATCTATTATATTTTATCCTAAATTAACAATTATTATTTGTCCTAAATTATCAATTATTATGACTATAATTTGTTATTTGTTGAGATGTTATGTTTTTCTTCTTTTAATGATGAGATAATAATAAGACGAGATGCTCGCTATTTTCTTTTCAAAATATAGATATGATCAAGCATGCGAAGATTGGCTCATTTGGTTTAATCGCAAGGCCTTTGATAATGTAATGCTATGTAACACAATTGGGTAGTATAAAATATTAAAATATATCTGATTTTTAACGCAAGAACTAATTATTTAATTTGAATATATTAAAAAAATTAAATAAATATTTAATTATAACACGTGTGATTTCATTTCTCTAAAACAATCCTATGCTATATTAGATTGCATAAAAGTTTAGATGTTAAGTAAATTAGTCTTAACAAATAATAAATAAGAGATAAAATTGATTAAAACCTTGTACTCAGAATCAAAACTCACCCCCTAAATCTTATTTCCTAAAATATCCTTACATTGATTGTTTGTATAATTAAAAAGGTTATTAAATTTTAAGTTATAGTTAATTTTAAGTTATAGTTAATAAAATTTAATGTTATTCCTAATTTTGTTAAAATATGTTAAAAGTGTTTTATAAATAGGATTAGGGGATTTTTTTTAAAAAAAATGAAACGTTGGTTGTCTAGTCTGAAAGAGACCAGAGATTACTATTAAGTTTGTGCATATGTATGCTGAGAATGCTTACACCAAAAATTCCATGAGAAGTCCAAGTGCGTAGTAAAAGCACCAAAAAGTCAGTCATTGGATCACTAATTCTTTGCTTCGCCTTGGATCCATACTCCATCCATAACAGTAACCACGCATGCCTTGCATCCCAAGGACCGAATCACTTCACACGAGTTAAAAACTTTATTAAATATTGATAATAGTGTTAAATATTTATTATAAATACGTAGTATTTATTTTATTTTATTTGAGGAATAGTTAGAATTTCTTAGTCCTGTAGCTGTATCGAACAATCTTTTTTAGAAGGCCCACCGTCGCAAGTTGTTTAATTTCGTCTAAATATCCTTTGTTTTGAAATTCCTTAACTAGACAACCTTTCTAATTCATTATTTTTTTGTTTAATACATTTTGTTGAGAATAATTTTATAAATTTAAAAAATCATTACGTAGTTTTAACCGAATTTTTTGATCCCTGCTAAATTATTAACATGCCGTTATAATAAAAACCGGAGGCAGCGTGCAAAGATTCATTTAGATATCATGCAGATGAGAGTTTTTTTTTTCTTTTTTTCAAAGAAAAGAAGTTTCTTGAACGTAATAACTGTTTTATTACCATTTTTTAAACCTTGACTTGAGCATTGATTCATTATTAATTATTACCACACTCCCAGTTTCACGAAGTAATCAGATAATTTGTGGTTTGTTGGTTGGTGATGATTAGCATCTCAATACTTTCAAGGATGGGGTTAATTCACATGGCAAAATAGATTTGATTATTAAGAAGAAGAAGAAGGGACATGGAGGCAGCCACCCTCCCAAAAATTTGGATCTTGTATGCCGAAATATGACTTTGTGTGATTTCGCATTTAGGGACTACCGAGCTTTCATTAGTTCATGAACAGAATTCAACTTGTTCACCAAAGGGGGAAAAAAAGAATTCAACTTTATGGCACCCCGAAAAGCGAGTACAATACATTCAACGCTCTTGCTACATTTCGCCTGCTTTGACCACATTCAATTGACAAATTCCAGGATCCACAAGTCCTTGTTTAGAAAAGTAAAAAGATTTGAAAACCTCTGCTTAAGACTGAGTTAGAGTTACTTTTCTTGTTTTGCTTTGACTTGAACGTGACTCGCACGACTCATACAAGGATTCAATAGAATGACAAAGCAGGTCATGATTCGGTCAAAAGCAGATCATGATCACTGAGACGGTTAGAGTTTGCTGGCAGGTAATATTACTCTAGCAAAGTGATGAAACCACGGTAAGTGAGACATTAACCATAAAACCCTCTTATCCTCAAGTTGCTTGGCTAATTTAGGCAAATTAAAAAGCTAAATAAATTACTTAATTTTAATAAATGTAACATGATCTTCTTAAAATATCAGTTTACAAGTTCAACAACTTAGTTTGAAGAAAATGATCAATATAATAGATAAAATGAATTAAGATATTATATTTAGGACTAAAACCAACTCCATAACTAATTTAAGATAGGAGGAGTATTTTTTTTTTCTGGCCAAAAAAAACCTACTTGCTTCTGGAGGGTGATCTGGCAAGGACTGCATGGAATCGTATAAACCTCAACCTCGCCTCACCAAGCAGAGTCTAGTTGGAGCAGGGGGAGTCATCAGAGGCTCTCAAGGAGAGCGGCTGAAGGGTTATCGCAAAAATGGATGACAAACTTGTGACTCAGCTTATCATAACTGATAACCAGCAATACAACTGACATTTCGGACTGGCTAACTATAGCTAAACCGTGAGGCCAATAGAGCAGCAAATTTCATGACTAATCACGCTCTGAATCTTGATTTAGGATTTCGCATTTTCTATGTTATAGATCCTACCCTTATCTCTTTCCAAACTCTCAAAAAATGGAGGGAATACATAAACCTATGATGCTGGGGTTTAAGAAAGGGAACAAAACCATCAACAGTAGAATTCGATTATTTCGTCTGGAATACTTTTTGTGTCACTAAGATGAGAATTTCTTCAGGATTGCTTGGTTTTGGAGAATGATTTGACTGTTTAAATGTCTGCGTTGCTAGTTGTGAACTATCGAAACAAATCTATCGAAACAAACGAGGTAGCTTATCAGGCAGAAGAAAATATAAGGCCCAACCATTACCTATAAAAACTCGAAAAAACATAACCTTTTTTTTCACATCTAGAATAGAATCAACATAATATATGCTGCCCCGCCAACATTAAACAACAATGCAAAATACTGAAAAGTCATTTTACAGATTCCTCTGAATGAAGTCCCAGATCCTTTCTTCCATGTATAGTCGATCTCTATGCCGTCGTGGCATGTGACGCTCATCTGGGAAAATTAATAGCTCATATGGTTTTCGAGCAGCCACAAGGGCATTGACGAGCCTTGCAGTGTGCCTAAAATGAACATTCTCATCAATCATTCCATGCACAAGCAGTAAGCGTCCTTTCATCTTGTGCACATGGTGCATCACAGAACTGCTTTCATAGGTAGATTCGTTCTCAGATGGCAATCCCATGAACTTCTCCGTGTAGAATGTGTCATAACCGTCCCATGAAGTGACAGGGGCACCAGCCACAGCACACTTGAATGCAGCAGGATATCGGGCAAGGGTCATGGCAGAGAGATATCCACCATAGCTCCAACCATATAAACCGATGTTGCCAGCTTTAGCGAGCCCTTGTTTGATGAGCCACTCAGCTCCAGTAACCTGATCATCAGCATCAGTTTGACCAAGATTGTGTTTTGCATGACTTTCAAACTTCAGCCCCCTTCTAGCAGTCCCTCTATTATCTAACTGTAAGCAGGAAAAGCAATACTCAATTAGAAAGTGATGAGGCAATAGTCAAGTTTTTCATACTGGATAGACAAGAATAACGTGTGATTGAATATATTTCTTCATATAACAGATGTTCCAGGATGTTTAGATCTGTCAACATTTTCAATGTGTTACTATAAGATCAGTTTTGTATTTCAATCATGTTATCACCAAGCTTCTCATGCAGATACGAGGCAAACAATCCAGCGGTCCTAATTTAACCTTGTCTTCATAACTCAAAGGTACGAGGATTAGAAGAAAATATAGTGCAACTAAATATTGGACAAGGCTCCTTCATGCTGTTGCGTTTGGATCATATGAAACGAGAAACAAAACATTAAACATTTAGAGGCAACCATACAGCCAGACCAAAAGCAAATTCAGGTACTGACCTTCCAAACTAAGATGCCTTGATTTCGCAAATATTGTGCTCTCATGTCAATTGTATGAACCCAAGAATTACAAACAAGTTGTACACTCGGACCACCATATACACTGATCATGGTTTTGTAAGGTGGAGGCCCAAATCGTGATACATCAGGCTTATATAGAACCCCAAACAAGGGAGTACCATCTTTAGCCTGTATTTCAACTATCTCTGGCGTCTCGAGCTGAAGCTTTTTGAATCTTGGATTTGTAAATTGCTGCTCAAACAAAGGCTTGATCGTACTTCCATCTTTTAATGAACAGAGTAACACCCTCGGAGGACAATCAAGGGACTCATGGATATCAATAAACCTTTGCATACGATGATCAAGGACCACAATGTGCTTTCCCTTGCTGGGGGTAAGTCTGACAGGGGGCTGTGGTGGTTGACCTCCATCCCCGAACACTTTAGAACAGTATAAGTTGGATTCCATTGGCCCATCTAAGGTCCCAGTGAAATATATTAGACCTGTAGCCTCATTCACTCCAGCAATTTGGTCAACCATCCATTCACCTTCAGTTATCGGTCCCAAACAAGTCCCATTTACATCATGAAGATAAAGATGCCTAAATCCTGTTTTCTCACTAGCCCAGATAAATCCCCCAGAAAACTTGGTAATTCCTTTTTCAAGAGGTGTGAAACAGTCATGTAAATTGATCCATGTGTTGTTTTCTTCCACTAATAGGGTTTTCCTTTGGCCATTTCTAATATCAAATTTTAGGATCTTAATTTTGGTGTGGTACCTGTTCAATACCTGAGCAGTAAGAATGTTTCCATGCATCCAATTGACTCTTGCCAAGTATTCTTCCTCATCGTTTTGCTGATCCATTCCTCCACATTGAAGATCCATCCAAGTAGCGGAACCTCCAGCTACTGAAACAACCCCCAGGCGAACTTCTGCATTTGAAGCTCCAGCAAATGGATAAGGATGGTCTTCCTGTGCCTCTAAGCCAACTGAGCTTTTACCTTGATGCATAATTCTAAAAAGTGGTATTCCAGAATAATCAACTTCAGTGAAAGCAATATATTTACTATCTAGTGACCACCAATATCCAGTTTTCCTATCCATCTCCTCCTGCAATCAGAAAGCTATAAAACATGAGGAAAATGTTAATTATGCTTACATTGACAAAAGGAAAAAAGAAAAGTTTCAGAATCTAGTTATAATCTAAATTGGACAGTGCAAAACGTGGAAAGACTACTAGGAGACAATGTCCCCAATAATAATTTGCGGATGCACATAAAGAAGGTACAATTGTAAGTGAAATCTCACCTGAGCGATATATTCAGCAAGGCCATGAATCTGCAGCGCAAAAAAGAATGTCATGTTTCCAAAATTTAAAAAAAAAAAAATGTCAGGAAGTAGCAAAGTTTAATATATTAGAAATGAAACTAATATTCATATTCAATAATACAATCTGGTAAAGGTTCAAAAACTAATAAGTAGAAGCCAAAAGGCAAGGGGTGATTTTGAGCAATTAAGCTCTTTAAAATTCTCATCTAATTCTAATTTTATTTTCAAAACTAAATAAGAAATTTAAGGGGGGGAAAAAAAAAAAAAAAAACAGCCACAGAAGCGTGAAAGAGATTGTTCCATATGGCGTATAGCAAGCTAATAAACAATCCATTGACAAATTTTCATGATCCAGGCCAAAGGAAGGGGGGGGGGGGGGGAAAGCCTTAACAATATTAACCAGTAGAATGCACAATAAAAGAATACAGCTTACAGCATACAAGATGCATCTGCTTTGAAGTAGCAGGGATTGGATATCATTAGGTTTTAGCTAGAAAGGTTAGTTCAGACTACTCAGATTGATAGCGCACTGAGGAATCAATTCCCTCATAGGACTCACACGTGGTGATTTTTTTTGGGGGGGGGGGGGGGAGAAGGTACTGAAAAAGCTTCTGGAACTCACCAAACTATTTTCCTTGGCACCATGTGTCAACTGCTTAAGTTCATTAGTAAACATATCCAAAACATGCAACTCAGAATCTCTTACATAAGCAAGCATTGATCCATCAGGGGATAGATGTGGATCAATAATTGGTGAATCTGGTACACTCGGAAGCTTCAGCTTTGTTTCTGAATAGAAAATATCGTGGATATAAACCTGATCATAATGCCCATCAAAATAGTTGCGGTTAGATAGAATTTGGATATATATAAATATATACACACTCCTCCAGTTCTTAAAATAAGACTTAACTAAAGAGTTGATGTTAGTCCTATATGTAAGACCTGATTCGCATGTTTATCAATTTTTTCCCAAATTAATCTTATTGATATTCCCTCAACAATAATCAAGTAGGAGAGGGAGGAAAGGAATTAAGAAAGAAGTTTAGGGTGTTTTAGAAAAAATATATCATATTAACTAATTTAACTAACCTCCTTAATCCACTCAAATTAGTTAATTAGATCTTATATTAAAGACTAGAGGAGTATATATATAGTTATATATAGGCCTAACAACATTCTAATGTGTCAGAGGTGGCATAAGGCAGCTGGATAATGAATGATATAATGTAAAACTTGCCGTAGCTGGCAATGCCTCAAACATCAAGTACAAGAAGCTCAAGTCTTAATAAAGATGAAGTGGCAGAAAATTAATTCAAGACAGATATGAAGGGTTTCACACCCACTCACAAATGGCAATTAGATGCGTTTAAGCTTTCAACTATATCAGATATTAGAGCAATATGGTATCCTTCATCAGAAGCGAGCATTCAATGGTCTAATTCATGAATTCATATGAAATATCCTGACTTTTGACCTATGGCTTGTGTCAAGCAAACAGTATTACAAGGGGAGCGACACATCACTTCAAACATGCGATGGCACACCAGTAGCAGCATGGTGGCATTCCCAGTGTAAAAGAGCATTGATGAGTATGTGTTTTTATTGTGTTCCTACCAACTGAATTATTAGGGTGAAACATCTAATAAGAATATCTATAACTGCTTTTGCTTTTCTGAATAAAACCATGCCCAATAAATTTCAAATAATTACTTTTCTTTCACCTCTAATGCAGAAGAGTCTTTGCACGCATTGTACTCGACAACACATCCAATTAGCAGTTTTACCCTTTAAAAAATGTGTTTCAAAATGTGCAGCAGAGAATAATAAGAAAAATTTCATCATAGATATTTGAGGGATGGAAGGACTAACCCCCGCAGGCAACGGGACCATAATTGCTTTCTTTCTGGGGTTTGTTGTCTTCACCCATTCATACCGAGTCACTCCTAACCCACGCTCCCTCAACCTCTCCCTTCTTAACTTCTCTTCTGAGGATATATTACTCTCATCAAGCCCCCCATCGGGGGGACTGAATATCAAATCTTGTTCAGATGTCTTTAGATCAACAATAAAAACCTTCCTATTCAACGTTTGATCAGGACTAAACAGATAAGCAATAAAATTATCATCAGGACTGAAACTTATTGAAGATGGAACCACACAGCCAGGCAATGGGTATTGCACTATCTCTTCAATGGGCAAAAAGACGCTGTCATCAAAATTTTGCACATCAGTCGAATCTGTCACAGGCATTTTGGCAGACGGCAATCTGGAATGCTTCAGCTTCCTCTTCTTTTTCTCATCAGTTGATTGCATTACAAACACCAACAGGTGTAAGATTCAACTACAACGGAGCATGACTATGACAGCATTCCTGTAAAAAGAAATAATTCAACTATAATTTTTACCCCTAAGACAAGCAGGCTAGTGAGCAACATTGCCACCCAGGTTTGACTGCACAAATTATGACAAATAAAATGAAAGCATTTTTCAGCGCTCAATTACGGAGATGAATTCCTCTACGATTGAGCATGACATAATACAATATTTAATTGCAAGATTATGAGATTTTCAAATTTTCTTCCCATCAGTTCACATGAAGAGGCATAAGCTTATTATAAATTGTATCTGCGTTCTGAATCCAAATACTATATAATTTTAATTATGCCCCAACTTTACACCTCATTCTAGAAAAGAAAAGGCAAAAAGAACGGCAAATGTTGCATTTGAAAGAGACGGAATCGCATTAACAGAAGAAGTTTGAGCTTCAAGTTAATATTAATTTAATGCAGCAAATAAAATTCAAACGAAAGGCTGGATTTCGTCAAACAATCGGGTTCTCTTCATAAGAACGCCAAAAGATTTAAATTTAACAATCCATAAGTGCTCATCTCATAATCTGCTACTCCAACAATTTTCAACCAATTCCTTCAACAAAATAATGATAATGATAATAATTTGGAAGAATTGTTTGGAAGCAATAATCAAATACAAGCATGAGCAGAACCATTTCAAAATGACAACAGAGAGCCTTATCAATAATCGCTACCTTCGCAGAAATTCCACACATGAGCTCTAACACAACTCTCAAAATTCTGTGTCCAATTGGATCCAATCGCAAACAATGGAATACAATGAAATAACATTCAAGAAAAATATAACAACATTAATTAGAGTTTACTAAAAGCTAACCCGGTTTCTTCATCAAGTATGGTGAATAGAATCTAACCTGGGCAGAAGATAGAAACGTTTTGCCATGAAAAAACGAAGAAACGTCAATCTGATTACTATTCTTACTGCTAGTTGAAGCGAATAGGTTTTGTGGGAGCAAATCAAAATTTATACAGAAATTGAGATTTCTGAAACTGAAAAGCTCGAGAGAGCACCAAGCACTTCACTCCGATAGATAGGTAAAAGAGGACAAAATAAGAAAGGACCCAACCTGGATTTTGTTGTATTTGTGTAGTAAGATGAATAAATGTTTTGGATTTTATTCAGTTATAGAAAATAAATTTTTTAAAAAATGAAATAATAAAATTGATCAAGCTTCTCTGTTGTCACGCTCATATCATATACGCTCTAAAAGCTTCCGTGAAGTAACAGAAGTTGAATGGAGTGGTCACGGTCTAATTTAAGTTATAATGCTGTTTCTTTTAATGAAGTAACATTAATATAGGGCAAAAGTTTACCATCACCGGGCTATTTTATGTTATACTACCTCTGATCTTAGTTATAAGAGCTAATTAGTTAATTTGAGAAAATTAATAAAATAAATTAAATTAGTTATTTATAATAAATAGATATTGTCTTTCTTAAAATATCCTTACTAATCAAGTGTGTTGGCTAGAACTACTATTATTAGAAGGACTATCTAGAAAAAAATGTATAAATATGAGAGACAAAGTGGATTGGAGTCTTATAATTAGAACCAAATTAAAAGTCAAACGAGATTTTATATTAAGGACCGGAGGTAGTATGATGGATCGGTATACTAATCTTTTTTTTTTTTAATGTATCAACCACTGCATACACTAAAAATAAGCTTCTTTTTTTTTTTTTACCAGCACACTAAAAATGAGATGAGGGCGTTGGATGTTCCCAAAAGAAAAAAGATTGCGATACACATTTTTCCGCTAATATATTGATGTTTATTCGGTGCCGAAAAAATTGTTTGTAAATATTAAATAGTGAGCTAAATACGTTGTCTTCACCTGCATCATTCAAGGACAACGACACCTAACTACTGGTTTTTAATAATTATACTCATTATTAATAAGAGCCGTGGATTTTTAAGGCTGGTTTCTTAAATTTATTTTTTGTAAAATGAAGTACTTACCTAATATGGAGAAACGCATTCATGTACAAGTACCTTTTTGTGACATAAATGAAGAATGACAAATTCAATTTTGCTTATAAATCATCAGCATCAATACACGTCCAATCTTGGTGAACAAAACGGTCTGTGAGATGGACCCACACGTTAATAGAAATAATTAAGGAAAATTAATTAATTTACTTGAATCATATCAATATGATATATTTGCCAAGTTCAGGTGCTCAGTCTATTTTAGTCATATTAAGATGGGGTACAGCAAACAGCCAAAATTATGGATTTAATTTTACGGGGGCTCACAAAAAGAAAAAAAAAAAAAAACCGTATTTCCAGGTACCCAACCGTCGTGAGTCCCGGCTCATTAGTCTTTACTAATCTATTACAATGTGGTGACAGTTCGAATTGTCGTTAGGAGAATAGAAGACATGTCCACTTTCAGTGTTTAACAGTACTGCGAATAAAATTATTTTCAAGAAAAAGGCATATGTACTTGTTAAAAAAATTCACTTACCTTACCAGAAAAAATCGACTTAAAATCATTAGTAAAAAGCATAACATTAAACCTTAAGGGTTTTTTATCCTCCCAAGTACAGACGTCTTTTTTATTATATGCAAGTTTATTTGAGATACTATCGCAAATTAAATATGAAATTCTCTTCAAATAATAGAACCCTCATAGATCCAACTCATGCATCCAGTTTTTTTTTTAAAAAAAAAATATGCGACTAAAAATCAAACATGTATAGTTTGGCCCATAAAACAAATCATGGATCAATTTACGCTCCTGATCACTAACCTGCATTAGGCCGTACCCCACCTTGCCCCTTGAGATGAGCCAATATCAATACGATAATTTGATAAAGTGATGGTTACATATTTCCGATGAGTTACTATTTCTGATCCTAATTATAAGAGCCAGTTAACTAATTTAAAGAGATTAAGGAAGTAAATTGAGTTAGTTATTTGTTCTAAATAGGTACTGTGTTTCCTAAAATATCTTCGCTAATCAAGTGTATTGTCCAGAACTATCATTGTTAGAAAGGCTACTTTGAAAAAAAAATATATAAATATGAGAGACAAAGTAAATTGGGATCTTATATTTAAAACCAAAATAAAAACCAAACAGAATCTCATATTAAGGACCAGAGGTAGTATTATTTTATCATACGAGAAAAGGCTGAAGGCCTTTACAAACGGGACATTAAAGAAAAATCACATGACATTAACTGAAAAGTTCATGTTTATTAACACTCAAAGCTCGATCCTCTATGCATCATCTATATACATATAAGAATATAATAATTGTCCTAAGGTGGCATTACATCTTCTCAAGTGGCTAAAAAACTGCCATGAATGTTGGTCAAAAAAGGTCTCTGCAAAGAACTCCCATCTTCCCCGCATGCTGCATCATGCCACGTGTTGCCACAGAAAAATATCTACTTGAAAAAAATGCTATGTACTTTAGATGCATAGTAAAATACGAACAGCAGGGGAAATTGATCATAATCATCAATGTTTCCAGTACTGAAGACGGTTTCGTGATAGCTCTGGAATCTTAGGACGTAACATTGTTCAGTGTACGAGTCAAACCGCCCTCGTACGAATCCGATACTGCAAACCATTAAAAGCAAGAAGGTTGATCAACCTTGGTCGTCTTCTGCTCTCCCGGATGCAGGATAGCGTACGACAGCCTTGCATTAGAAGAACAAAACCATTGCACCACACCATTTATTAGACGGCGAGATAGATTCAGTGACATGCTGAAGCAAGGCTTACTTGATAGATATATCAGATAGCTTCATGAGATTGCAAGTTTCACAGGTAAAACTCATCACCACCCAGGAAAGGTCTCGCCTTATAATCAGCACTAACCATTCCTGGAGACAAAAGCAACCCCAGTAAAACCTGTAAATCTCACGTTTCTAAGTCATCCACATCTGATTTTTCAATAAAGCTGGGAAATGCCAAGGTTATGTCCCTGCAAAATGAGAAGACATGCATTAATATAACGCACTATGTCGTCCATGCGAAAAATGGATACAATGACGAAGAAATGATACCCACTTTAGATATGGTAGGGTCATGTTCTTCAATAAAGATGGATATTTGAACGCAAATTCTTTCCATTCGTCTTGATCAATCTTTCCATCACCTTTTGTATCAGCATCGTTAAATGTCTGCAGAAAATGCAACAAAAATTTATTAAATCTGGTTTAAAGGAGACCCGAAGGTAACAGTATGTGCGTATGTATTTAATATATAGACAGATATATAGATGCATAGATATATAGACATAGACACACACAAGGATACGAGTATGCACCTTATCCACTATGGTTTCGATGACGTCATCAGAAAGTATGAGCTCAGATTCATGCAGTATTGCTGATATCATCTCTTTCAGCTGCAGATAAACGTTACCATAAGCAGAGAAAGTAAAAGATAGATCCAAATCTCCAATTTATAATGAGCATATGCGCACAAGATTGGCACAGCCAAACCTTCATACCTCCTCTCGTTCAATATACCCTGTCTGCCTCAGATCATACAACCTAAAAGCAACTGCAAAATAGTTACCCCAGTTTAATAGACGATAAAGTAAATTGGCAGATAACTAAAAACCACTCATGGAATCAAATAAGAAATATAAAAGCATAAAATTCTTGCAAATAGACTAATAGAGGAAAAAGCAAAAGCATGCATGAAATCTATTATAGGAAAATAATTCTTACATTTGATTTTGTCTTCTATTGGTGCATTTGGGTGAAAAACACCTAGTGATCGCACAAATTCCCCAAACTCAATAACCCCATTGCGCTTGAGATCAAATAAATCGAAAATCTATCAAGAAGTCACAAGCATAGGTGTGGGTTAGACCATTAGAATAGACAGTACAAGTGCCAATCTAGATAAGCTACTAGCTAGGTTATTATGAATTCAGTGTCTAGTGGATATTAGCTTATAAACACTTCATAAAAGTAAACATTTCTAAACCACTTCAGATAACAAACTAAATTTTAAAGTCCTCAAGAACGTCATTAAGGTCAAATGATTCATGAACTATAGAGCAAGGGTCAGATTGACTCACCCTGTCAGCAAACAGATTCCTTCTGTTTCTATTCTTGAAAAGTGCAAGCTGAAATTCTTCCTGGATGAAAAAATGATTTGTAAGGTAGCTATCTAACAGATATTAAAAATCAAGTTCACGTCATCTTACTGAAAGCAGGATGAAAACTTACGAGCACTCAACTAACCTTGTGAATGAGTCCATCTTGAATAATTGAGTTGCTTAATTTCTGAAAGAGCTGATGTAAGGCCTCTACTTCACTTACAGAAACTGTGAATAAGGAAAGATAGATGCAGCACTCTTTTAATAAAGCTTACCCATAAGAGCATTGAGTTATTAAATGATGAGTTGCAGGGAAACCCCCAAAATATTAATACCAGTCGCTTTATAGGACAAATGAGTGAACATGATACAGTATATCAAAGTAAAGGAGACAGAAGCACCAGTGCTATCTTACTTTGAAACCAGTAACTTATGACTTATCAATTGTTAGAAGTCAGCTATCAGTGCATGAATTGTAACTGAAAGGACCATGCAAAACAAATTCAAGTTAAACAGAAGTTTTAAACTATCCATTTATCAAAATGAATTTAGGGATGCACTGCAATAAAATATTGGCATTTTGTGTAATGGACTCATAAAATCATGATCACAAGATCCTTATACCACCAATCAAAAAGCAAAGAAAATTCAAACAGCAATAATCCAGTTTGATGAAGGATACTTACAAGGTGTCTCAGCAGCAAGAATGATGGGATCCTCATAACTAGGTGATTTAGCTACCTTCGAACTACGGCAACCCATCAAACAGATCAAAAATTAACTTCCCAATTTCCTGAAAAGCAACCGGTTCATTTAGACCAAACCACAAGAAGAAGACCAGGCTACGGAGAAGATAAAAGAATAATGAAAGTTTCAACTTTCAAGCTATCCTGCTTACAACCATGCCGTGATAAGAGGTTACATACGACCAAATCACAAGTAAATTATAAGCCAGATCTCCCATGATTATTACCGTGACGAAAAATGCTAGAGTAAGGTCACAGAAACGGATT